AGGGCTTAATTCATTATTGCATGTGGAGCATCTTGACAGCATAAATAATTGAAACAGTCTGTATAATGTGTTGGTCATTGTCAATAAATATTATGTTGTTCTCAGACCATTAGTATGCCTTGTGAAATCTGCAGTCATGTTGGAAATAAACACAATATGTGGACATCTTGATCAGTTTTTCAGTTGTCACTTAATGAGACTGAAATCAAATGTCTAGTTTTTACTGTTGATCAAAATATGTGAAAGAAAGTACCAGATTAAAACCTCTCTGTATTTAGTGGTCCATACAGGTATAATCTGTGCTCTAATGAGAGATGGGAAAATTGATTGTGGGTGGCTTACATTTAACAAAGTATGTTGATGGCCATGCTAGCTAAGGTGTCCTTGATGCTGTCGTCCAAAATATTTTTCTCCCCTCTCTGAATTCTGCTGAAACCTTGATACTTGGAAATCATTGTTTCCTCAAACACCACAAATTAATGAACTCAGTGGGTATGTGGAGAAAACTGCCTCAGCATAAGTGCTTTCCAGACAGGTATCCAGGAAAGTTAGCTTTTACAACCAACAAGATGTCTTGTGACACCATAAAGACTAACTAGTTTAACTGATGTGTAGTTCTTTGCACTTCAGTCTCTTTCTTGGGCTACAGTCCATGATCATCCATGCCCTACATATTGCATTAATCTTTTCCTGGCTCCAAGACTCTTCCTTGGTTTACGGTGCAAACCTAACTCAAAGAAGCACTGCCTCTAGGGAGCAAAGTAGCAAGAAGGCTCTTCTCCTGACAGAAATCCCCTCACACTGACTTCTGCTAGCAAAAAAACCTTTATTTTGGCATATCTCAAAGGTCTCTCACCTGAGGCATCTGCTGGGCTTGCAGAGAGGTAGGTGATGGTGAGGGGAATCCTAAACAATTTCTAGCAGTCCTTTACTTCTAGAAATGTGGCTTTAGCACACCTTCAGCTGGACGAGTGTCAACTCAAATGAATCTCTGCCATCTAGGGTAGCATTCCTGGTCTAAGAATTTTCTGCACAAGAATTCTATTTTGCCTGTTCTTTGCTGTCCCTGATAGATTTTGTAAATATTCTCTTCCCTCTGTGTCTCTGATATTATTATTTAATAACCTCTTTTTTTGGAGGAGATAGATGCTGTTTTCTGTTTCTTCACACAATTCTGTTTACTGTCACCATCGTCTCTCTGTCAAGTATAAATAGCTGAAATCCTGTTGCTCAGTGTAGTAGCAGTAGTGTAGTTGCAACTAGTGTAGGTTCATTTCAATCAATGGAACTTGTATAGGAGATTTTTTTTTCCTTACATTCATGTTGAAGTTTTGTTTTTTTGTGTAGTACTGATGTTTGCTTATTGTTAATGTTTTGTACTGCCCAGAGTGGATTTTAGTTAGATAAGATGTATATAAATCCAATAAATAGAAAGAGAATATAATAGCGTAACTTACAACAGTAAACAACAAGATTTCTGCCAATATGTCTAAGCTTAAGTGGCCAAACTCTTACCTCAGTGGGTGTTCCACCCCTCCAGACCATCGAATATACACTCCTGTGTGGAATAGCTCACCTTATCCATACCAGTTAACTTTTCCCTAGACCCATGTTTCATACTTGCTCCACCTTTCTTCACTTTCCTCTCATACTGAACTGGAACCTCCAAACAGGAATTGGAAACACCTTTCAAATAATTTATTTATTTTATTTATTTAATTTATTTATATCCCGCCTATCTAATCAATTAAGATTACTCTAGGCGGCTAAATAAGAAGTGATGCCCTTTGGAAAACATGTTAGACTTACCTTAATGGCTTTGTCTGTGAATATGGGCATTGGAAGCTATATTTGTCATAAATTTATCAAGTTCATTCTAATTTTTTTTATTGCTTTAAACTTATAACCAACCCATTTAGTAGATAAGCTACTATACTGTTCTAGCAAGAAAAGGGTCTGTTGGATGGTATTCTACTTGTCCAGGATCGTTTCCTTCCCTGTTACATAGCACACAATGAGGAATACTAGCTTTAAATCCTTGTTGCTGTTGTTGTTGTTGTTTAGTCCTTTAGTTGTGTCTGACTCTTCGTGACCCCATGGACCAGAGGACGCCAGGCCCTCCTGTCTTCCACTGCCTCCTGAAGTTGGGCCAAATTCATGTTGGTATCTTCGATGACACTGTCCATCCATCTCATCCTCTGGCGTCCTCTTCTCCTCTTGCCTTAACACTTTCCCCATGAGGGAGTCTCCTCTTCTCATGAGATGGCCAAAGTATTGGAGCCTCAGCTTCAGGATCTGTCCTTCCAGGGAGCACTCAGGGTTGATTTCCTTTATAATGGATAGGTTTGTTCTCCTTGTAGTCCAGGGGACTCTCAAGAGCCTCTTCCAGCACCACAATTCAAAGCCATCAATTCTTTGGTGGTCAGCTTTCTTTATGGTCTAGCTCTCACTTCCATACATCACTACAGGAAAAAACATAGCTTTGACTATGCAGACTTTTGTTGGCTAGGTGATGTCTCTGCTTTTTAAGATGCTGTCGAGGTTTGTCATCACTTTCCTCCCAAGAAGCAGGTGTCTTTTAATTTTGTGGCTGCTGTCACCTTTTGCAGTGATATAGAGCCCAAAAAAGTAAAATCTGTCACTGCCTCCATATATTCCCTTTCTATTCGCCAGGAGGTGATGGGGCCAGTGGCCATGATCTTAGTTTTTTTGATGTTGAGCTTCAGACCGTTTTTTGCACTCTCCTCTTTCACCCCCATTAATAGGTTCTTTTTTATTCCCCCTCAATTTCTGCCATCAGATTTTTATGATCTGCATATCAGAGGTTGTTGGTATTTCTTCTGGCAATCTTAATTCCGGTTTGGGATTCCTCCAGTTCGGCCTTTCGCATGATGTATTCTGCATATGTAAGTTAAATAAGCAGGGAAACAATATACAGCCTTGTTGTACTCCTTTCCCAGTTTTGATCCAATCAGTTGTTCCATATCCAATTATAACTGTTGCTTCCTGTCCCAAGTATAGGTTTCTCAGGAGATAGATAAGGTGGTCCGGCACTCCCATTTCTTTAAGGACGTGCCATAGTTTGCTGTGGTCCAAACAGTCAAAGGCTTTTGCATAGTCAATGATGCAGAAGTAGATGTTTTTCTGGAACTCTCTGGCTTTCTTCATAATCCAGCACATGTTAGGAATTTGGTCTCTAGTTCCTCTGCCCCTTCGAAATCCAGCTTGTACTTCTGAAAGTTTTGGGTCCACATACTGCTGAAGCCTACCTTGTAGGATTTTGAGCATAACTTTGCTAGTATGTGAAATGAGTGTGATTGTACAGTAGTTGGAGCTTTCTTTGGCACTGCCCTTCTTTGTGATTGGGATGTTGACTCATCTTTTCCAGTCCTCTGGCTACTGTTGAGTTTTCCAAACTTACTGGCATATTGATTGTAGCACCTTAACAGCATCATCTTTTAAGATTTTAAATAAACTGGAATGCCATCACCTCCACTGGCCTTGTTGTTAGACAAGCTTTCTAAGGCTCACTTGACTTCACTCTCCAGGATGTCTGGCTCCAGCTCCACAACCACACTATCTGGGTTGCCCGGGACATCCAGATCTTTCCGGCATAATTCCTCTGTGTATTCTTGCCACCTTTTCTTGATGTCTTCTGCTTCTGTTAGGTCCCTCCCATTTTTGTTCTTTATCATGTCCATCTTTGCACAAAATGTTCCATTAATATTTCCAATTTTCCTGAACAGATCTCTGGTTTTTCCTTTTCTATTACTTTCTTCTATTTTTTTTTTGATTGTTCATTTAAGTAAGCCCTCTTGTCTCTCCTTGATATTCTTTGAAATTCAGCATTCAATTTTCTGTAACTTATTATAGTACACAATGGCCACTTGCAAATGGGTCCTGTGTGTGGTTTGTATAACTTCCCATAGCTACTTGCAACTCTTTGACAAAGTACCATGGTATGCCCTATTTGTGTGCCTCTTCACGTGCCCGGTTGTGCAACCAAGATGCACTCCAGAACCACATCAATTATATGAAGCAAATTATACAGACCTTACAGAAACTGTAGGGTCACAGCCGTTGTATGCCATAAGACAAACTTACACAGAAGTGTAGAGAAGGGGGAATGCACACTCCTATTGTGGAACATCTTTTTACTCTAGGAGCAGAATATCAACTTCTCTGCTTCATGTTTAACCCTTCACAAAGATGTGGACTAGCATTATGGTTACTTCAAGTGCTACCTTATTTGAGTGAAAACTCATTTTGATACGTGGAGGAAAAACAATGCTTTTGGTTTTTTTTTAACTTAGGTGTGTCTTGTTTAGGATACATAGTGAGGTGTGTGGATAGAGACTAGGACTCTGGTGTCCTGGTTTTGAATACCTGCTCAGTCATGGAAACTCACTGGGAGTGTTTAACTCATAAAACTACTCCTTAAATATCTTACATACCTTGAAAGCCCTATTAGGTCAGCTCTGGACTGACAACACAAAAAATAACACATCTGGTTTAAATTAACTGGGGGCACAGTGGTTATGTTGTAGTAGAACAGTCAAAACTCTCCTCATGGTCAGCGTACTAATCTGGCAGGCATCTTGAGGTTCACTCAGCCTTCCATCCTTCTGATGTCATTAAAATGACTGACCAACTTGCTGGGGATGCGTGTAGCCCATATAAATTTGAAATGTGTAGCCATATAATTTTGAAATATAAGCAGCAGAATATTGTAATCATAATTAACTGCTTAACAGTCCTTGTGTTCACAAATTATATGCCAACTGACCTAGCATTCTGATGTTTCAATGGAAACCAAAAGTCAATGCATGCTCATAAAAGGGGATTTTTCCCTGGTTAGTCAGATAGATCTTGTTTAAATTAGCTCATTTATTATTCCTAACATTTTAAGAGTTCTTCTGTTTTTCCCCACCACAGATATAATGCAAGTACTGAAGACAATATGAATAATCATACTTCAATGTACACTTTCATGTTGATGAGATTTTCTGCTGACCGAGAACTACAGATCTTGCACTTCTTCATATTCTTTGCTTTGTACCTGATGACAGCAACTGGGAACCTTCTCATTATCATTGCAGTGGCCTTTGATTACCACCTTCATACCCCAATGTACTTCTTCTTGTGCAACTTAGCCGTATTAGACCTTGGCTCCGTATCAGTCACAATACCCAATTCCATGGCTATGTCCCTTATGGATGACACGTCAATTTCGTATGCCGGTTGTGTTGCCCAAGTTTTTTTTTATTTATGTTTTGCAGCATCCAATTATATTGTCTTAATTATAATGGCCCATGATCGCTATATTGCAATTTGCAACCCATTGCAGTATGAAAGAATTATGAACAAAAGAGCCTGCTTTCAAATGGTAGGGATAGGGTGGATTACTAGTTTTGGTTATGCCATACTGCACACTGGTGGCACCTTTGCAAACACCTTCTGTTTGAATACAGTCAGTCAATTCTTCTGTGAAATTCCACCGTTACTAAAAGTCTCCTGTTCTGACATTTATCTTGTGGAAGTTGGGTTTCTTGTAGTGAGCTCTGTTATTGCACTCGGATCCTTTATTTTCATCATCATAACATATGTGCAGATTTTTGCTACTGTGCTCAGAATCCCCTCAGTACATGGTCAAAGAAAAGCCTTCTCTACTTGCATTCCCCACCTGACTGTTGTCTCTGTGCTGATATTCACTGGAATCGTTGCCCATTCAAGGCCGCGGACTGATACGTCTTCTGCTCTAGACATGGCTTTTGCTGTGACCTATGCCATCATTCCACCCCTGTTGAATCCATTCATCTATAGCTTGAGAAGCAAAGAACTCAAGACCTCTCTGTGGAAACTATTAAATGCCATCCTTTCCTCTAGATCAGGGGTCTCAAACATGCGGCCTGGGGGTCATTTGCGGCCCACCTGATGACAGTTTGTGGCCCCCTCCTTGCCTGCCCTCCCCGACATGCCCATGCGTCCTCTGCTATCAAGAGTCAAAAGAAGCCTCGCCTCGCTCGCCGGCTGTTTCCCAAGACAGGACCTCTTGCACCCTCCATCCGAAACTGCAGCCTGCCAGCCAGCCCACCTGTCTGCTGGGGGAGAGCTGGTGAGCGAGGCGTGTTGCTGGCCCTTTTCCCTGAGCACCCAAGCCGCCGCTGAGTGATGCTTGAGAGAAGAGCTCGCTCCCGGCCCATCCTCGAAGAGTGCCTCCAAGCCGCCAACAGCAGCAGCAGCCGCCACCACCTCTTCCAAGGAAGAGGCTCTCTGGCTCTCTTTCTCTCTCAGCACCTCCAGCACTAGCTCGGCCAGTGGCCGCCTCAGCACCCTGTGGTGCTTCTTCCTCCTCCTCCTCCTCCTGCTTCAGCGGCCTCAACTCTGGAGGCTGCCTGAGCTTGCCTCGCAACGTTTGCTCCTCTGTAGTGATGGGGTAGCTGCTGCTGCTGAGTGTGCCTTTTTCTGAGGGGGGCTGTCAGAAAGGTTGCCGGACCTCCGTTTGTGTATGTGTTTGCATGTGTGTGTGTGTATGCGCGTGCGTGTGCACGTGTGCACACGTACACCTGTGGGGGCCCCACCCCGTTCTGTTCAATTTCACTGGTATCGATGGGGGCACTTCTCCTTTGGCAAGGTGATTCTGTGAGGGTTTTTTTTAAATTTATGTCGTGCCCTCCTCCTCCCCCACTAGGTGGTCGCTGGTGCTCTCTCCCTTCTCTGTTACTTTGTCCTGCTGCTGGTGCTAGTGAAGAAGGAGCCAGAGGGGGTCGTGGCTGGCGATGAGGGGTTGGCACGTCTCTCCTCCTCCTCCTCCTTGGAGCCCCAGCCGGGATAAGGAAACTCCTGGGTGGCTTCCTCGGGCTCTTGCTCCACTTGGTTGAAAATCTGATGCGGCCCAGCCTCACCAAAACTCTGCCTCCAGCAGCCCCCAGGTTTGAGACCCCTGCTCTAGATCCATCTCATCTGACCTCTAGTGTTGTGTACAAAAAAACTACCCTCTCAGCCCACAGATTGTTTTAAATCTGAATCTGAATTGCAGGCAACCTGGAGTTCTTATTCTTTTTCTGTAGCTCTTTGGGTTGATTTTGTTTTTATTCATGCACATCAATTCTACCTCCCTTGAAACAGCTGCTCTCATTCATTTCTCTTTGCTTCTCTGTGTCCAAATTTAGAGGATTGACATCAGCCTTTAGACCAGAGAATTAGTATAGATCAAAGAGCCCTCAATGGTGCAAGTACACAGTGCATGCTGGGTACACTGACATGCAAAATGGCAGGATTGATAAATTGTTGCTGCCATGGCAGTGTTGCCTCTTGTTCCACCTGGGTCTCCAGCTCTTCTGAGTGTGGTGGTGATGCCCAGTAAAGCAGAAGAGGACCTGGGCAGGGAGCAGAAATGTTTCTTAGACTATTTTGTGGGCAAAGCAATATTTGATAAAGAAGCTTCCCATTTTTAATTTTTGATTTTTTGATTTTCTTTAAAATCTCATCCAATTCAGTAGAGTATTTGATTTTGAATAAGACTAAGCATGACACATATTTTTAAATTATCTACTGACAGAAAGAGTAGCAGTTTTAGGTTTTAGGTTTTTTTCCTCTCTCATTGTTCTTTTCAGGTTAGAGCTACAATTAAGATCTCCAACGAGAAGACAAATCCGCAGAGCAGTTCAATACAGAGGACTGCAAAGAGCAACAGAACCTAGAAAGCTACATGACCTTGCTAATTATTTTGCAATTACTATAGTAAACTGTTTTTGAAGCCTCAGTTTTAAAAACACGTTCACTTCCAGTGCTGTTTTCTATTCCCTCTTAAGTATATCAATGCTATATTCATGCAAAAATTTCACATCCTGAAAATGGCTTTGTACCCATTCAAAACCTATTTGCAATTTCACACACTCCAAGGGTGCTTTTATGAAGATCCCTCCATAAAGAAATCAGTGCCTAGAGTTTTGAAAGTAAATACTATAGAAATTATCTTATTATGACAGAATTTATCATTAAAAAATTCAAAGGATGGCTATACAAATGCTGTATTTGATTTCCCCCATATTTTGCAACCAGTACATATTTAATTATTTGATGTATACTTTTTAAAATGCACTTTGTTTATTTTAAACATGTAATATGTTTTACAAACTGTCTATACACTTTTTTATTTGCATTTTGTATATTTTAACCACATAATATGTTCTATGAACTGATTGTACATATTTGTATATTTTAGTCATAAATATGTTTTATGAACTGGTCACCCAACCCAATAAATACATTCAAAATTCATTTAAAAATTATGGATCTAGCGATGCTGAAGATACAATACTGAATTCTAGCATTACACCTAAATCTATCAAGGCTAGATGGGCGTGTGAAGATCTTGCTGACATCCAGATGAGAACAACAGGGATGGGGCTTCTGTGTATGCCTCCATCCTTAGCACCCATCTAACCCTAAATTCTGAAAAGGGTTCTGTGAGCTGATAATATTATAGTATGCTTCACAGACCACAGACCCCAATTCTTGTAAAAATTAACAGATAATGAATTTCTTTGTGTCAGTTGGGTTGGGAACTTCCTTATCTTTCTTTTAAACACCTGTTCCTGTAGAAACCACGAAATATCCTGTTATTCTTCGTGTGCAGGTCTGGAGCACCGAGCTGCGGTTTGAGCCCCAGATGTCTGAGTTTGTGGTTAATATTGGCCAAACCACAGATATCCTGCATATTTCGTTTCCTCTTGAAAAGTAACGGCTTGCTATCAAAATTAGAATAACCCAGGGCGGGGGAACTGCTCAAGAGTAATACTTAGAAAAACCAGCCCCTCTTGAACTCCTATAGGTAGAAGACTCTGTAGTCAAATCCCCTTACCTAATTGTCTGCCAATAGATTTTTTTTGTATCTTATTTCATTGTGGTTAGAAGGTTTAAAAGTTATTTGCATTGTCTTGATCAGGGTCTCTCCCTCACTTAGAGAGAGACCCGGGCAATATCAGTCGAAATAAACAAGCGCTTTCGTTTTATCTGCTGAGTCTGTTTGTACTCAATCTTCTACCTGCCTGCCTAATACAAGAGTGTCTTTTAACACTCCCAGTTTTTTTTTAAAAATATCTGACTGACAGTTCAGTGCCCATGCATATCAGATAAGGAAGAGAGAACATAGGTTTGCATTATGATTCAGTGAAAACTGTATCTCCATGTTTTGTTTCACCTGGTCTTTCCAGCAACATGTCAAAAGACTGCCATAACATTGCCGCATCACAATAATGGGACAAAGCTGCTATACTCAATTTCTGTTCCATAGCATTCCTGTTCTACGCCACCAATTACTACATATGGACAATTACTACATAGCTCTTAGTAACAAGGAAAGGATGGGGAACTATTGTAGGTATAAAGAGTAAGGGAGAATGGTTAGGGGCCTTTTGGTAGATGTGTGACTATGATGATAAGCTAAAGATAATATGGCACATGTAATACTGAGATCTGGATATCTAACTTGCAAAAAATGTATAATTTCCCCCCTTAAAGTCACTTGCTAATAGTAGTTTGATGTAATAAGAACAAATGCAAAAAAATTCAGAACAAATGAGTCACATGGAATTCATTCAGAAGTATGACTGCTTTTGCTTTTTTAATGTATTCAGAAATCCATCGTTAACTATTTGTTTAGCATCTCACAAAATATAAACAAATGAACTGTATCTATGAGTAAGGGCAGTTTTTTCTCTGTGTTTTTCAATAAACTGCACTAAACTGGGAGATAAACTCCTCTGAAATTGAAAGAAGCTCAGATGTATTTCCTTCACAAACTTTCCCAATTGTCAGTGCATTGTAATTATTTGTTGTATATTTCCCTTTTAAAAACATCTCTCTATATAGAATGTATAAAACAGTGATAGTGAAATAGTGCAATATTAAAATAAATAAATGCCTCTTATTATTATGTTGTGCTAGGGCACTAAGATGTTTTCTTTTCATCATCATAACACATAATATGTTGTGTAGTGGATAGAATGATGGACTAGGGATCTGGAGAGCAGGGTTCAAACCCCTGCTTACCCTTTGAAACTCACTTAGGGAGTGGAAGAGGTAAAGCCACTTGCCTCACTGTAAGTTGTTTTTAGCATGACAACACATAACAACAACACAATAACATACACGTAGTTTTTTGCTCCAATGTCTTCTGTGCATGATCAGAAAACATTCCAAGGCCTGTTGGAAGGGAGCAAACGGGGCATCATCAGAAGTAAGGTCATAGTCTGAGCATCTCTGAATCTACTATACCTGCTACATTATTTGGGTCTGCATAATACATACAATGTCCTAGAGTTGGTAAGGGCCTGCAGTCACTCAGAAAGGTCTCCCTGTTTTGTCTTGAATGTATTAAATGTGAATATAAGAAATCTCCTTTTGACCTTCCCCATCTGAGAATGGGAATTCAATGGCTAGCAGTCACAAAGCTCATTGTGTTTGAAAACAACGCTGAAATAGATGTCGGTGACAAATGACCTCAAACCTAGGAAATGTTTTGAGGCCTTCCAATATGGATTCAATTGAGCTCTTTGGAGGAATGAACAAACAATGGAGGAAGGTGAGTGGGTGTCCAGGAGATATCAGCTGTACTGTCAAGGATGGACAGGACTGAAGAGATACGTCATCTGGATTTAAAACTGAACTCTAGTTTCCGAGATATATTTTAAACTCTAATATGCTCTCTCTCTCTCTCTCTCTCTCTCTCTCTCTCTCTCTCTCTGTGTGTGTGTTAGAGTGGGTCTGTGTTCTTTTACCCATTTCGTTTATCTTTTGTTGGGAGGTGAATACAGCCTCAATAGTCAAATGGATGGCTTAATATTGTAATTGGATAATCTTTCTGAATCACTTCTCATTTCACATACTTTCCAGAAAAAAAACATATAATTCTACTGCATTATGTTGTTTTATATCCTGGTATTTTGACACAACAGAAGATGGTAATATTTTGATA